GGCTGCTGAAGTACTTCAAAGAATATTCTGGCAGCCAAGTATTTGGTGAAAGAAGGGGCAAATAGAAACTTTAAGGTTCCTTTTTATCTGTAATTTTTTTTCCAACACAGCTGTTAAAGAAAAGACAATTTAATACAATACTGATTTTGGTAAATAGACATTAGAATTGAAGAAGTTTTTAATTTTAAAAATTTGGGAACTGCTTTACGCTCTTTCCAGGCTTTCCCTATGTCTCTTACTCTTTGACCTGTTTCATTCCCTTTCCCAGTCCCTCATTCTTTGCCAACAACCACCTCTAACCTCCTTTTTTTTTTTTTAGATAGGATCTCACCCTGTAACCCAGGCTGGACTGGTGCAGGGTGTTCATAGCTCACTGCAATCTCGGCCTCCTGAGCTCACGCAATTCTTACGTATCAGCCTCTCAAGTACATGGGACTACAGGCTCACCCCACCACACCTGGCTAATTAAAAGAATTTTTTTTTTTTAGAGATGGGGTTACCCAGGCTTGTCTTGAGCCCCTGGACTTTAGTGATCTTCCTGCCTAGGCCTCCCAGAGCCTAGGGATTCAGGTGTGAGCTACCATGCCTGGCAAACACCCTAATTTTAACAGTTGTCCTGACTCGTGTACCTTTCAAGCTTAAAAGAGAATGTGCAGGGTTTAAGAAAATGCAGGAGGCAACACAAAAAATAAGAAATGTAAGGACTCTCTTTTTTTTTTTTTCCTTCAATGATCTTTGGTTTCCACAGTTACATATGTTTGGAAAGAAGTTCTGAGTGTACTTCCTGAAAGGTTACACTTTTGGCAAAGGTAAAGAAGGAGGTGCTTTTGTTATTAGGGTGAGAGGGTAGCATTTGTTAAATTGGCCAGTGCAAATAGAATTTGGGAAGGTCTGGTGATTTTTTTCAAAGCCATTTACAAGCTACTCCTCCTCAGCATGCAACTCAGGACATTTGAGTATTAGTAAGATTATTTCATGAACTGCTTTGGTTTGGTTGGCTGAAATGTACCTTATAAACTGATTTTACGATTGAAGAATATATGTAGAATTATATATTTTCTCTCTCTTTTCAGAATTATGTTGAATTTCTCAATCAGGTAGATTTCTAAATGTGATTATAATTGCTATAAAATTGTCAAAAAGTTCCAAAGCAGTCTGAAACACAGCAGTGGGTTCAATCAATGGTTAGTTTCATTTCTTTTCAAAGGCAGCACTAGACTTTCCTTGTGGCTCTGAAATTGTTTCCAACTTTGATCTTCTGAATCACCTGAAGTACTTGATATAGTAGGGAATATTTGTGTCCCCTCAAATTTCATATGTTGAAATCTTAGTATTAGGCGTTACACATCCTATAACAAAGGTATTAGGAAATAGTGTATTTGAGAGGTGGGGCTTTTGATCATGAGGTTGGAGCCCTTCTGAATGGGATTAGTTCCCTTATAAAGGAGACCTCTAAGAGCTCCTTTGCCGCTTCCACTATATAAAGACATAGTGAGAAGCCAGCAGTCTTATATCCAGAAAGAGAACCCTCACCAGAACCCTGATCTCAGAATTCTGGCCTCTAGAGCTGTGAAAAATAAATTTCTATTGTTTATAAGCCAGCCAATTTCTGCTGATTTGTTATTTGCAGCCTGAATAGACTAAGACAGTACTTGTTTAAAATACACATTTCCCACCTGTCCTGCCAGGAAACTGTGATCCAGGAGGTTCGAGATGGGACCTGGGAAACATTTTCAACAAGGCTCTCAAGTGATAATTAAAATCAGCAACACTGCATTAGAACACTGGCTCTCAACCCTAACTACTTGTACAGCTTAAAAAAAAAAATCCTGGTCCGTGGATCCTACCACTAACCAATGTAATGTTAATCTTTGGCGGCAGGACCCAGGCATTTACACTTTTTAAAAAAGAATCTTCAGGTGGCTTTAATGTGCACCTAGGATTGACAATCATTTCTCTCAATGTTCTTGTGAATATTAAAATAGATTCTGGAAAAGTGCTGTGGGATAATACATTTTTACCTCTAGTGCTTCCCTAAGATAAAAGATATTTAATTTGAGCATTAAAATCAGAATGTTTCAGTTTGAGACATATCACGTAGAGTCAATTTGAGTACCAGATATTCAACATTTCTAGGGTGAAATAAGTCAATCTCTAGACTTTTTCAAGAACTTTACCAATATTCTGTTTGGGCTTTTAATCATGTATAATGCACCCTAGTAACCCCTTAGCAACAGACTGTGATATGCAGATAGGATGCAAATTATCAGGTGAAGTAAGTAGAGAAATGCAGAAACGAGATTTGAGGTTAATTGTGGTAGAATTTAAAATCGTGGCCGGAACAGACTTCATTTTCCTCCTTTTTGCTTCCAGAAAAGAATCTGCACGGGTGTATTTACCTAGGTGATCTCCAGTATGGCGCTTCTTAATTGTCCATCTTAGCTTTCGGAATATGTGGAATGAGCCAGGTTCTGATCTGGATAATGACACAAGGATGTTGGCAGATTATGATGTCTCTTGATTTCAGGGAGTTCAGCTTTATTTTTTTAGTGAGGTGCGTTAGTTGAGGAAGATCCGGTACCAGATGGTAATGTTGGCTGGGAGTGGTTTTCTCACCTACGTTTGGCAGCCTTACTCGGAAGTGGTGCTTTCGGTGCCTGAGACTTCCAGTCTATGCTACTTAACATGATCATTGGGAAGCTTTAGGTGGTATAGAAGCAATGACACGTCTCATTAAAGGTCCCATAACTATGAACATCTGGCATCTGTGCTGCAAACAGGACCGAATGCAGCCTGCAGGTGGTCACAGATTCAAGTCGTATGTTGTTTTTTAACGGCACAACTGAAATTCATTATATGTACCAGGCTTGTAATTTCTAGAGGCATTTTTGACTGGAAGACACAGATTACAAATTAATTAACTGCTCCTTTTAAAGATGACCTCCTCTTAAATGGGTTCCCTCTTTCCCAGCATTTAGACAATGGTTTCAGCTGATGGCTTATACATGATTTAGCAATAATAATAACAATAACTATCATAATTTCAATACCTATAATATGCTAGGATACTTTATGTATAAGTGATACAATAGCTCTCCAAGATATTTCCACTTTGTGGATGAAGAAATTAAGGAACTTGCCAAAGACCACAAAACTCCTAAGTGACAGAGTCAGGAAGTCAGCAGAAGCCAGCTGTCTGGTTGACCAGTAAGGTCTCTGTCCGTCTTGCCACCGACCCCTGTACTATGTACAGGAATGGAATCAGCAGTCATTTCTATAAACTGCCATAAGGTAAGTAAACGTTATTAAAAGTTGGCCTGTATTTTCATATTTAAACTGTAAAAATAAAAAATTGTAAAACAACCAGATTCAGCCTTCAAGGAGCTTACCATCCAGTTCTTTTATCACATTAAAGAATAACAGGCTGATTCTTTATACACATTTCTAGATGCTTTAACTTTAAATTTTAAAACACTGAGATACGTAGTGAAATCAGAAAATAATTTTTAAAAATCCAAATATGTTCACCCTAAATTTGGCCCAGTTCCTTACAGCTGCAGAAATTCATTTTCACCCTGTTCCCCATCCCCCTTCCTGAAGCTCTAAAGCACAAACCCAGTGGGAGTCCCCTCTGTTCCCCAAAGGAAATATTTCATTCATATAATGTCTCCTTTGTAATCAACACTGAGAAATGTCACTTTGATTAAACACAACTCTGAATGACTAAGACCACAGTACAATACATTCTCCAGAGCTATCTTTCAGAACAACTGATTGCTCTCCAGTCTTAATCCTCCAGAGTCTTATTTAATCAAAATGATGTTGCTAATTAAGGATTAAAACCTCCGAATAGAATAAAAAAGAAGGATTTTTCTTTCTCCTTTGGGCAGGTCAAGGAGGCGGAATTTGCTGCAAGGAAGTAAAGAGTTCCTTCTACCTTTAGTAAAAGTGCATTGTTCTCTGACATTAGGACTTAATCCAAAATAGGGCTGAGTGCTTTGTAATATTAATATAATCAGAGAAAGAAAAAAGGGGAGCAAGAAAAAGAAAGAAAGAGAGAGAAAAGGGGAACTGCTTGCATATACCTATACCTATACATGTAGACACTATTTACTCTAAAAATAGACAGTGTAGCTCACATCTGTTTGACATCCACTGACAGATAACAACAACAAAGAAGTTTTATAGTAAATGCTCAACTGCCCTCCCTTAAAATCCAAATATTAATTTTTTTCTTGAATTTGTATTTAGTAATATAAATTGTTTCCTTAAAAAACACAAAAACAGATGAGCTCCATAAGAACTCATTGGGACAGACAAAGAGTCACAGGAAGGCTGTTTGATTTCATGGAATATACATTCTTTTAGGTATTGCGAGTGAACTGGGTAAGAAACAGAGACGCTGGGTGATGTTTTAACAAATTGTAAAATCCGTGTTTCATCTCTGCATCTTCTCTCTTCATTGGCCTAGAAATTTATAATCTCTGCCAAATTCGTCTATTACAATATAGACATACTAACAGCTACTGTGTTTTGATCACTTACTATGCACTAAGTTCTTTGCCAGCAATACACATGGTGTTACCTCTAATAAAACTGGAGAAAAGGTATTATCGCCCTTTAGAAATGAATAAACTGTAGTAGAGAATAAATGACTAGGTCAAGATCAACCAGCTTGTGTTATGCAGAGTCCAGACTTTCACCCAGGTATGTTTGGCTCCAAAGCTATGTTCTATTCTGCAGGACAAAGCACTTCAAATCTTTCTACTTGGAGGATAAATGTATCAGCATGTGTTGGGAAGGTGCTGGTAAGCTGTACTGGTCTCCATGAGTCTTAGAATCTCCTGCAATTACTGACTGAATCATCATCACAGATTCATCACACCGTCACTTAGCACAATTCATCACAAAGACTGAGCAACTACTACCCAAATGTAATCGGAAAGTAAACAGTGAGAATGGTCATAAGCCTCTTTTCTCTCCTAATCAGTGCTACTTACCAATTAAAAAAAGACATTCTTTTTTGTGATCCATACTCCTGAAGGCCAAAAGCACCCAGTGGACAGACAATGGCTCTTATGCCTCCCATGCCAAGGCAGATGGTCAGCAGTGCTACATAAAACAGCCTGTGCTGCTGCGTTTTGGGGATGTTATTAACCACGTGGTAAGTGCCCAGATAGAAATCTTCCAAGGGGAAAGCCACCACAGATAATAAAGCAGTGCCTGTAGGTAGAGAAAAAAGAATAAATATAGCATAGAACAATTGGATCACCAAGTTGCATTATAAACAGGGCTTTTCCTCTGACAGTGGCATCATGTGGTGATTGTCTTATCCAAACATTTATGGTTATCATTTCAGTTGTGGGAATAGCCTGATGTTTTCTAATTGTAAACATTTCCTTCAGTATGTGTCTCAACTAATCCAGAGTTTTAGGGCTTTTTCTCCTCAAGCTTGAACTATGTTTTCTCTTAGAGTGCATAAGCAAATCATGTTTATTTTGCCAAAATTAGAAATGCATTGTATAAAAAATGAAGCTGTTAGTATTCCCACCCCCAGAGAAAACCACTGTTAACAAAGGTTATTTGTTCTTAATCAATTTAGTGACAGAAAACACCATGATCTCAGAAATCTCAGAAGCCTGTTACATAAAAACTTTTAAGAAGAACATTATTATAGTTAGAAGAGAACACAGTCTTTTGTTTTCTTTTCTTTTCTACTTCTCTTTCTCCCTGTAATGCCTTTCTTATTTATTTCTCACAAAACCGGATGAATCCTTCTTTGCCACACACAGAGGTGAGAAGGCTGGGGACAGAGGAGTATGAGCTGGAAGGAGAAAGGACATAAAGTAAGAAAAGAAGGTTGAGTATCCTCTCTCTTCCACCTTGCAGGGTGGCATTTGATGACTCTCCTTGTTGAATAAAATTTACCATATAATTCCGTGCTTTTGCTAAGCTCATTGTATTTTGTAAAGCATGTTCAAGTACTACATTGTTTCATCTTGGACAAACTTTGTGATGTGAGTGGACAAATTTTGGATAGATTTTCTTATTCTTTCTTTTTTTTTTTTTCTTTTAAGAAACAGGATCAGTGAGGTTAAGTGATTTGCTCAATGTTTCAAAGTAACCCAGCTGTAATTATCCCTATTCTTGGGCCTCCTACCATCAAGCAGTCAAATAATTTTTTTTTCTTGAAATAGCATTTTCCCCCATCAGATTACAAAAGTAATATGTTCTTACTTCAGAAAATTTGAAAAATAGAGGAAAGTACTCAGAATAATACAAAAGGCCCATATTGTCATGACTCAGAGATATATTTTTATAAATATATTTTACTTAAATTGAGGTTACACTGTTAATTTTTTAATGTAACCAAAGAATATAAACAATTTTTAAAGTACCTTTATACTTTTCCAACATGATTTCTAGTGATGCTGTGATATTCTAATCATAATGTGTTTTAAAAGACCTTTCCAGTTATTTTAAATGAATACCATAAAATATCCTGACACATAATTTTTGTGCTCCTCTTTATTAGCCTAAGTTGTCAGTCAAAGGCATTCCTATTTTTATGGCTTCTTAATACCACTGGCAAATGTCCTTTAACAATGCAACAAATGGCCGGGTGTGGTGGCTCACGCCTGTAATCCCAGCACTTTGGGAGGCTGAGGCGGGTGGATCATGAGGTCAAGAGATCGAGACCATCCTAGTCAACATGGTGAAACCCTGTCTCCACTAAAAATACAACAAAAATTAGCTGGGCATGGTGGCAGGCGCCTGTAATCCCAGCTACTTGGGAGGCTGAGGCAGGAGAATCACTTGAACCCGGGAGGCGGAGGTTAGAGTGAGTTAGAGTGAGCCAAAATCACACCATTGCACTGCAGCTTGGGCGACAGAGTGAGACTCTGTCTCAAAAAAAAAAAAAAAGCAACAAGTTAATCTCCTACCATCACTGTATGAGAAGACCTTCATTCATACTAGTTACCATCATTCATTTTTTTGTTTTGTTTTGATGATCTGATTAGTGAAAAATGGCTCCTCCATGTTCATTTTGCTCTTCATTTTATTAATTTGGCATTAAGATTATTTGGTATGAATTTTTGTACCTTTATTTTGTGTGGTTTATTTTCTCAATTAGATTATAAATTCCTTTAGATAAAAATTTGGTCTAATGCTTTCATCTCACCTACAGAGGCTTTCACAATGTAAAGAATATGTGCACTTAATTGCTATTTGGCAGCAGATTCATTTACCATGAGGTGGGCCCTTTAAATTACTGAGTTTGAAAAGTTTCCTTTCGAGGTTAGCCAGATGTGGAACTAACTGCTCTCTTTCTACTACTCCGTCTTCTTTTCTGTAGGTGTAACATGAGGGCTGGCTAGATAAAGTGATGGCCAAAGAGGATGGGCAGGGAAACTATTTCATGCAGCAACCATTTACTTGGGGACAAGGCACTTTTAGTTTGAATGGTATATTTGTGTAACTTAGAAAAGCACTTTATTCCATCTTTTCAAAAAATGTCATCATAGGCTGATTGATTGTGTTAAATCAAAACTTTATTCCTATCTGTTGTAAAATGATGCAATAAAAAGACAAATCTGTGACATACATGATGAAAAGTCTCCTCTGTGATGTGCGCAATTGTGTATTGCATCATCAGTACGTGTGCATTTGGTCGCGCTATAGAAGCACCGTGATGTGTCATACCCACTGCTAAGTGGTGGAGGTCCACAGGCTCTTCTCTTCAGGAACTAATGAGTCCATTAGAGAAGTCAGCCATGCAGGTGGGCAATTATATTATAAAGTGATGGATGCAATCATATAGGTTTTATATGGTTGTGGTTGAACACAGAGAAGCTAGCAATAAACACTATTTGGTTCTTGAAAGAACAGCAGGAGTTTTCCAGTCATGGATAAGGGATGGAAAGTTAAGGGAAGGTGACAATTTCAGGGAGAGAGAAAAGCATGTGTAAGATTAGAAACCTAGGGAAGGAGGCCAGGAGAAATTCAGTAAGGTTGGGGTTGCATGTTGAGTGAGAAGTCTAGAGAGCTGAACTTGGAATAGGTTGGTGAGGTTCTTGCATGCTAAATTAATAAATTTGGATTTTATTTTTTAGATACTAGAGCCAATATAGAGATTTATTTGTTCAGGAAGTCAGTGGTGTTGGTAGAAGGGAGTATGAACTGGAGACTGACTACTGGCAGCCGAGTAAGTAGGCTGCTGGCATGGTCAAAAATGGGAAAGCTGCATTTTTTGAGCTAGGGTTGTAGCTGTTCAGACAGAAGACACTTTTTAAAAAATATAACCTCTGATATTTAGTGACTGGCTGGAATTTGATGGCAGCTGTAAGTGGAGGGCAACAAGGAAATAACTTTACTGAAAAAAATGAATGGATGTAGAGTTGACCTATGTCTTTTGTTTGCCGCATTCTAAAGTTGGGATTTCAGTCCTGTCTGATGACTGACCTCAGAATTTAGATTGACAGAAACTACCATGTTAAACAAGAAGTCACCAAATGTTACTGGTGTGTGCTGTTACCAAAGTAAGCAGAGTAGATGAATCTGGGGTTTGCTTAAATGTCTTCTTGTCAGAAAGCTTTTTCTCAGCACCAAGTAGCAGCCCCGTCACTGTCCATTCCATCCTGTCCCTACCCAGCTTTACTTTTCATCCTAACTCATTGCCACATCACCTTATATCTACTTCCTTGTTTATTTTCTCTCTCCCTGCACCAGAAAGTCAGCTTCAGCAAAAATAGTCCACTTTCTTCTCTACTGCATTTCCAGACCTGGAGTAATGCCTTGTACAGAGTAGTCGGTAAGAAGTGTTTGTGGAATGTTGACTGATTATTTGCCATACAGTGACTTAGTTTTTATTTCACGGAACTTCATCTGTGAAGTTTACAGGTTTGACTTACACTCCAATGGATTCTCTATGGTAATTTACCACCTGCTGAGATTGTGTGATATGTCGAGTAGCTGATATCTATCCATCTCATTCTCATCCATTCCCCTACCAACGCTCATTTCAGCCGTACCTCTCATCATTGGTGAAAAGCATGCTATATTCCCAAGTTGCCCAGATCAGAAACTAGGAGCTAATTTTTGTCCCCCATCACAATTGTACCTTTATTTAGTTGCCAAGTTTTTATAGCTTTTCACTTGTTCTTTCCTGAATCGGCACTTTATTGCTTAAACCATCACCCTGGGATTTTCTGATCTCTCTGTCAGTTTAATCCCTCACTGTGGTTGTCCATCCTGTATTGCAGAATAGCACTTCTCAAATGTTGTTTTCATGGTATCTTTAGAGACTTCTTGTTTTTTAAGAAGAATAATTGAACTTTTCATCCTACAATTCTAGTCTGTTCTTCAACTTGCTCTCTCTCCTTTATTAAACTATGTTGATCTTGTCCCAGCATTTCTCGCAATTGGTCCCAAACCTTTGCATATATACATTAATATATATGTAAAAAAGCACACTGTAGCGTCTAATTTACTCTTTTTTTTTTTTTTTTTTGAGACAGAGTCTCACTCTGTTGCCAGGCACCAAGCTGGAGTGCAGTGGCACAATCTCGGCTCACTGCAACCTCTGCCTGCCAGTTCAAGCAATTCTCCTGCCTCAGCCTCCCGAGTAGCTGGGACTACAGGCTCATGCCACCACACCCAGCTAATTTTTGTATTTTTAGTAGAGACGGGGTTTCACCATGTTGGCCAGCATGGTCTCGATCTCTTGACCTTGTGATCTGCCCACCTCGGCCTCCCAAAATGCTGGGATTACTCATTTTTAAAGCATATAATCATAGTTAATAATATAGAAGTCATGCCATCATATGCAATCTTAATTACTATATGACTAATTAAAACACCAGTTTTGGATAAAAACATTTCTCAATTATTTTACATGAACTTCAAAAACCTTTTTTTTTTTTTTAAACACATCTCATCTTAGTTGTGAAGCAAATGAATTTCACATTTCTGAGGGAATTCGTCATGAATTTGGGCTTGAGGTAAAAAAGGGGGAAAGGAGGGTATTCTAAGGAGTAAGATAGATAGGTAAAGTAGTAATTATTGTAAAATACAAGTGCAATGATATAGGCATCAAAGTATCCTCTAACACACACACACACACACACACACACACACACACACTAGCATTCTTCAAATAGTACAGAGAATGAAATACATTGAAACCACATTTTTACTTGTTTATCACATTTTATGCCAAGAGCGGAGTGGAAGTAACATAAACTAAAAATTCTAACAAAAATCTACTCAATTAAGTCACCAAGCAATCCAGTCCACAGAGGACACTCACCTAGAAAATGTAGAAACAAGCAAATATACACCAGTTTGTGTCTTCCTAAATAGACATCAGTGAGCCATCCGGCAAACACAGGGGTAAGCATTGACGTTCCAATAAAACACAAGTTTAAGACGGCTGCCTGGCAGTTGTGATAGCCAAGCTTGACGATGCAAAAGGGGATCATGTTGCAGACCACTTCGAAGAATGTGAACCTCTCACACAGCTCCACCAGAAGCAAGCAGATTCCAACCTGAATTTTTTTCACAGAGTGTGAGGAACAGAAATCACCAATATGTCTTACGGTTTTCTCCTCCTCAGTGCTGTGATGTAAGCGTACTTTCTCATCCGTTATGGTAAAGTCTGTAACAGACATGACTACCCTTCTTGAACAAGACTTAGGTTAGTGGTTTGAACTTGGTGATATTTTGAGCCCCATCCCTCTACTGAAAAAAATAAGTAAGAACGTTGCTTTGAATTTCACATCCCCAAGCTAAGATTTCATAAGGTTTGTGTGTTTGCACATTAATGTTGTTCATTTTGATGATCCAAGAGCACAGGAGAGGAGACAAGTATTTAAACGTTGACGATAGCTCAGTGTAGCCAAATCTGATTTGTTTGCTTAATTACTTAGCGGCAAAATTAGGATCTTCTTCCAAAATTTTATTGAATTACATGAATCCAGTTGCAAACAGGTGGAAACTCATCTGCCTCAGACTGATAAAGGTTTAAATACTGAGGCAGAGGAAGCAGTTTTTCAGGAGAATTTGAGCACTAGATCAAGAAATAATTTGAGTCTAATACTTTCTGATACTTTAATTAAACAAGCCAGAACAGTACCAAGAGATAAAGTGCAAAAGGAAATCTGTTTTGAAGGGGGCGATACCTTATCATTATTACATTTCTTGTTATTTTTGGTTGGAATTCTGATAAGAAAGTTAATTAGGTAACAAAAGTGCTAGTACATTTAGGTAACAAGCAGAGTTTACAAGAAAGTAATTTAAGTGCACTAATGAAAGGAGAAAATATTAAACAAAACCCTGCCTCCTTTAAGTTGACCCCATGCTTGTAGAACAGCCTCTCAGAGGAAATCAGAATCCAAAGGTGCTATTCGACTCCTTTATTATTAATCAGTAGTCAGGCATACAGCAACTAGCCTACACAGGCTCTGGGGAATGTTGGATCTGGTATCACCCTGACCCTCCAGCTGGGTGAAAGGATGTTAGCATTCTATTTTGGAAAGCAGGAGGGCCAATTAAGCTAAAAAAACAGCAGTGAAAGAGAACACCTTAACATTTAGTGGTTTAGCTGCAAGGACATAGGAAGACAAGGGACTGGAACTATTGGGTCAAAGTCATAATAATTCAACGCTTGAATATAGGAATGTTATTTTCACACTGGACTCAAAACCTAGAGACTGATAAGGGCTTCTGGTCTTGAGAGACTGGGAGCAAAACACTCTGTGTTGACTCCTTCTAATAGCCTCATTGCAATGATAGCTATTTGTATCTGCTCAGCATTGCTACCTTGGTAACAATGCCCCATCTTTCCTTTGTGTAAATTGATCATGCAATTTACTATCCAAACTTGGACAGTTTTGTGGGTGAAAAGTGATGCTATTTATAGTTACTCCTAAAAAAACCAGATATAAACCAGGACTGTCCACGGCAACACTCTAAGACGTGTTCACCCTACCTTTGGAGAATGACTCCTATCAGCTCAGATCATGGTGGTGCTATTGATCAGGATATCCCTTTTCATCTGGCAACCAGGGTCAACACATGGTCTAAGACAGTGCTTTTACTTTTCTCCTCCGGAATTTTAATCTTGAGTGGAATGACTCAAGAATGGGCATGGTGGCGGCTGAGTTATTCAGATGGCAGTGTGTTAGTCTGTTCTCACTCTGCTAATGAAGACATACCCAAGACTGGATAATTATATAGTAAAGATGTTTAATGGACTCACAGTTCCATATGGCTAGGGTGGCCTCACAATCATGATGGAAAGTGAGAGGAATGTCTTACACGGCAGCAGGCAAAGAGAGAAAATGACAGCCAAGCGAAAAGGGAAATCCCTTATGAAACCATCAGATCTTATGAGACTTATTCACTACCATGAGAACAGTATGGGGGAAACTGCCCCTGTGATTAAATTACCTCCCATCAGGCTCCCCCATGGTACTTGGGAATTATGGGCACTAGAATTCAAGATGAGACTTGGGTGGGGACACAGCCAAATCATATCAGCAGTACCCAAAAGGAACCACTCATGAGGCCCTGATGGAGAACTCAGCACTTCCCTGGCTCTTTTCTCTCTGGAGGCACGATTGCTTTTCCCTTCTGTAGAAGGCTCAAAGCATGCCCATTAATTTTTGTTTGATTTAGTTAGCCCCATTTGGCTTCTGTGGCTTACAAAGAACCTCAATGATACTTTCCTTTTTTGTTTGCCCGAGATGCAAGGGCAAGCTGTTCTGTAGCCACCGGCTGATTTCTTTAGCCCCTGGCAAAGCTTTCCTGCACATGCAGGCCTGATGATAATCCCATTTGAATTGTTTGCCTCCTCTCTGCATACTTGCTCAAGATCAGGCTCCAGGTTGTGGTAACCTGTGGTTTGAGGATAGTTGAGTCAGCAAGAGCAACAGCATTTGCCTTCTTTGGAGAGGATATTTGGTAACCCTCCAAGAGAGCCACCTAGTCAGAAATGAAGTTTATTTTAGTTATCTGTAAGGGGGAAGAAATCTGACTTTAATAGGGACATAATAGTTAGCAAATAGGATTCATATTAAGTGGGAGTTAGGAGAACTAAGTTATATTTCTGCCACTTTATCACTTAAGGCAAATTTCTCTCTGTCTATGAGCCTATTACATTAACTGCAAAATACAAACAGTAAAGCCTGTCTCAGAAGATCATTTCTGAGGCTTGGCATAAAAAAGGGCTTATGAAATGTCAAGAATTGTACATGGAAATGCCTTTGTTATTACTTGCTTCAATATTCCTGCATTTTCTAGCTACTCTAAGCAATGAGCCATAAAGAAATGTCATGGAACCACTTCCAAATTCCAGTTTGCACAAGAGGCAGATGTTAGGAGGGCCGGATTATGCGGAACAGAGTTGAAGCAATGGGAAACCACCCCCTTTTTATTTGTCACATCCCTACTAGTTCCCAGCGCAAAATTCATAGTGAGCTCAAAGGACAAGTAGTAATTCCACTTGAGAAGAATACTTGGCAGGGAATACTGAATGTCCTCATCTTTATCAACAAACTTAGGCCCTTGAGTGGGGACTTACACATACTTTAGTTTTATGCCACCCCTCCCCTATTCCAACCCAGGCTTGTTCTCTATCCCTGCCTCTGCTCTCTGCAATGAAGTGGTATATTTTCCTTTATTAAGGCAATGTATGCAATATATGTAAATTGGATACAATTTGGAAAATATCTAAAAATAGAAGAAAAAGCATGAAAGTTTTTGGAGAATTTCATTAGATGTTTTCTGCCCATGGTTCTTTTTTTTTATTAGTAGACTTAAAATATTTAAATTGTATAATTGTATACAATTATTGCACAATACATTTCTACCCCATTTTCTCCCCCATTGTTAGGTACATAAAGCATTTTAACATGCCATTATAAACTCATTGTAAACATAGTTTTTTATGGTTGCATTAATTGATACATAGATTATCTAACTATTCTTCCATCTCTGGTTAGTTATATTTGTTTCAGATCTGTCATAAGCCAGCCTTTCTCAAACATTTGACCATGAACCCACAGTTGAAAGAAAAAACACCTTTATAAATAATGCTGAAATGAATATTTGTGCACAAAACTTTCCCCATTCCCAGATTATATTCTTAGGCAGGTTTTTCAGAAGCAATATCACTGGCTAAAAGTGTGAGAAAGTGTTTGTTTCTTAATATGTAAGGCAAAATTACAATATAAACTTCAGAAATTTTTTAAAATTGAAAAGCCTATATTGCTTTTGGAAGGCAAAGACTATATTTATCACTGGAATTCTTCATTGGAAAGACAAAGTCACAGAGGAAACATAGAGAGTAATAATGTTGACCATACTTGTACGTGTTGGCAAATGCATCTTATTTAATAGAGAAAGTTAGTCAGATGCTCACTTGATGAACTGATGACATCCCTGTTTTTTTCTGAGTACCCAGAACCTTTATACATAAGATCTTATAAGGATTGTTTAGGGAACACACTAGGAATGCAAGCCCTGCTTCTAAGGAGGCTATTTTTAAATATTCAGGATTACAAAGGATCTCTATAAGCTACCTCCAAGATGATTACAGATTTTGAGAAAATGGTGGTGCCTTTCAAAATGTTTGTACAGTGGGCTGCTGCAATGCTTTTCCATTTGTGTACTTATTTTCAGAATAACTTTTCATAGCTCCTCTAAACAGTAAGTATTTTTAAGGGAAGAGCTTTTCTGTCGGAATAATTCTCTGTAAATGGTATACACAAAGGTCATTTCAAGATATTTATTCTTTTAGGCCTATTGATTCCATTTAATTCCATTGACTCTGAGGTGTGGTAGCTGGTTTGAAAGCATTGTGAAGAACATGAAGATTGGCCTTACTATAATTTAATTGTTAAAAATGGCACATCAAAGACTTGGAGTGAAATTTTTCCTTCATTGTTCGAGATGTGAAGCAGAAATGAAAAGATAACATATTGGGGTTTACTTTTTGCTTTGTGAAAAAGGTACTCTCTGTGTAAACCTGTACTCTTCCGTTATAAAGAGGCTCTGGGAATTGTATATCTCTACCTTGATCCTTCTGTCCGGTGTGAAAGAGAATTACTTCAGCCCTGATGTGGTCTGGCTCTTTGTTCCCATCCAAATCTCATGTTGAATTGTAATCCCCAGTGTTGGGGGAGGGACCTGGTGGGAGGTGATAGGATCACGGGGGTCATTTCCCCTTGCCTTTCTTATGATAGTGAGTTCTCATGAGATCTGATGGATTAAAAGTGTGTGGGATTTTATCTCTCTCTCTCTCTCTCTCTCTCTCTCTCTCTCTCTCTCTCTCCCCTCTCTCCCCTGCTTTGTGATGGGAAGAAGTGCTTGCTTCCCCTTCATCTTCTGCCATGATTGCAAGTTTCCTGAGGCCTCCCAGTCATGCTTCCTGTTAAGCCTGCAGAACTGTGTTGGTCAATTAAACCTCTTTTCTTCATAAATTACCCAGTCTCAGGTAGTTTTTTACAGTGGTGTGAAAATGGACTAATGCAAGCCCCTAGCAGAAAATAACTCATATAGTCCCAAGAACATGTAAGATACTCAATTCTTCTCCAACATAGTGTGTTTTTTCCCTTTTCTGGGAATAAGTAAGAATGGAGGGTGTTTTTCTCCTATTTTTCCCTCCACACTATGTAATGGCCATTACAAACCTTGCTATTTTGTTGAATTCTACATGCCAGGTAAATCAGTATAAAGTAAGTAAAGTGGGGGAATGGACACCATAATGGACACCACATGGACACCATAATGGTCAATTTTATGTATCAACTTGGCTGGGCAATAGGCCCCAGATATTTGGTCAAATATTATTCTGGATATTTCTGAGTGTGTGTTTTTGAGTGGACTTAGTAAAGTAGATTGCCTCACCTAATTGACTGAAGGCCTGAATAGAACAAAAGTCTGAAGCACACCACACCCCCACCTTCAGAAACAGGGACTTCTCCAGCAGACTGTGAACTTCCTTTGCAACATCAGCTTTACCTGGTTTCCTAGCAGACTGCCTTTGGACTCAACTGCCACTTTTTCCCGAATCTCCATGCTGTCAAACTCCCGTCAGATTTTGGACTTGCCAAGCCTCCATAATCGCATGAGCCAATTCCCTAAAACCCATTGAAATATACACACAAGCATATTCTATTGGTTGTTTCTCTGAAGAACACGAATACAGACACTGTCCATATTATCCATATTGTTCATTTTTCCCCCCTATTTAATCATAAAGGAATAGAAGGATTTAAATACAACACGGGTAGCTTCCACATTGATGTGTTGAACTGAGACCGCTTTTTGAGTTTTTGGTAGATGAGTATATACTTCCATCTAGCTTTCTCACTGAAAATTCAAACTCCCCATGTTCCAAGCTTAACTCACCATCTTCTTGCCATATCCTACCCCTCTTTCTCCCTTTCTTAATGGTTCATGGCATCACCACTTACCAACATATTCAAGGTAAAAGACTGAGATGTCCTCGCCTCTTTCTTCACTTCTCCTTTGCCTATTGTATTTACCATTTTCAGGAAAATATTTATTGAGTCCCTAACATGTGCTAGGCTATTTTACACTTTGTGGTGATTGGGAGGGGCAGTGCTGCCAATTCAACATTCTTAATATTTTACAAAGCCATTCTTTCTCTCTGCCTTCTCTACTCTGCTGTAGTTTGAGTCCTTTGGTATGTCTCCCTTGCACTGCTGCCTCAGGCATTGCTTCCGTCTCTTATGGACCTTAGTCACTTGTACATCATGTTCATCAGTTTGCCCTATCTGCCTACTTCTTGTGCCTCTGACTGTCCTGATTTTTGCCATTTGTTATATTGTGGTTGTTGTTCTTGTTGTTTTTGTCTTATTTCCTATTATTTTCGTAACAGTCTTATATAAAATATCTTATTTTTGAAAATCAACTAAGTTTATTGAACACGAAAACTTCTTTTTCAACTTTTATTTTAGATGTAGTGGGTACATGTGCAGGTTTGCTACCTGGCCATATTGCATGATGCTGAAGTTTGGGGTACAAATTAGCCCATCACCCTGGTGGTGAGCATAGTACCAGATAATTTTTCAATCCTTACATTCTCCCTCCCACCCCCCAGTAGCACCCAGTTTCTATCATTGCCATCTTTATATCCATGAGTACCCAATGTTTAACTCTCACCTATAAACGAGAACATACAGTATT